AGTAAAGTTCCCCTTCAGATCATATTGGCCTACCCATGGGGAAATTGAAGCAGCGTTTACAAGTTTGAGTGTATGGCCAGCGCAATAACCAGCCAGCTTTACTTTTGACCAGCTAATGCCAGAGCTGGGTAGACTAAGGGACACGCTCAAGGATGAGGAAAAAATACTAGCCTTAAACTTTAACAGGATTACATTCTGTTATTATCAATGTAGGGCCAATATGCCCCTCCCCATCTCTCACATGGCCGCCTGATGCAGCCACCTCTCTGCATGGGCTATTCCTGACAGAACAATTCTAGACTAGGTGATATATCATAGGGCTTTTAAAACACTAAACGATACCCTATCAAGCTTTGACATCATTTTAAGACCTCTCTACAATGGGTGAAAGTGAGTCTACACGAAGAATACCGGTACGGGTACAATTTTTATTACTGGTATAATATTTAATATGAAATACCAGAAAATTAGTTATGTCTAGGAGTAGGAGGTTTGACTGGATCTATTAGTAACACTCTATAGGTCGAATAGACCCTATGTTGGCCCCTAACAGAGCAGATGTAGGCACAACTAACTGTCCTATATCCAATATATAGGCTATAGTTAGGCCTATTAAATTTTTAAAATTTAATTTGTGCATAGCTTCGGTTATGAAATGTGCTTGTGCCATACTCATTAAAGATTCTTTAAAGATCCAAATCTCCTACACTACTTAAAACTACACCCCCACCTCGGCTTGGAATGTGATCTAGAAATGTGCGTACTTATGGGATCATTTCTGTCTAACAATAACGCTCTGCATTATAGACCCACTAATTATCACCCAATAATAAATTTGTATGCGTACATGGGCGCCCGCAGTTAAGGGCAAGTGGGGGGCACTTACCCCCCCCTTAGATTGATTGGAAAAATTTAGACAAAAAATGTATTAAAGTAAAGAGAAAATAAAGAGAAAGTAACTAAGCTGATGTCCTGTCCGTTCGTTCACCATACAAATACGCTACAGTAAATTAAGACTATATTAAAACATTGCTAAAAAAATTTTCCCCCCCCCGAAAGTTTTCTGCGGGCGCCCATGTATGCGTATACTGATTAAGCTAAGTAACTAAGTATATTACTTATACTACAATTGTGTATATACTTTATACTGCATAATATTTAGTATAGTAATAGGCTATTACTATTATACTACCGGTATACAGATATTACCATACTAATATTAGTAATAAATTTGCCCTTTTTTTATAATTGATAGTGAAAAAAATTCGATAATAACTCATGACGGTTCAGTATACTAATAGTAATATTAATATTAATAATAATAATAATAATGAAGTTCATTTCAAAAACACGCTTCATCCCCAAAGGCTCGAAGCGCGGTACAATGTCAACAAAATACAAATCTATAATTTACCACATTTAAAACAAACGCAACACTACAAAAACTAATTACTAGCATACAATTGCAAAGTCTTTCTAGCCATTTCAACCCCAATATTAATAGCCTACATCCAACAATAATTTTTCACCAGTCTAGATCTAATGCATTATATGATTATTCGCAGATTTCGGTCTGCCGATAACGCTAAACATTATTCACAGAGCTGTGTGGATAACGCTCGCCGTTATTCACAGATTTCGGTCTGCCGATAACGCTAAACGTTATTCACAGAGCTGTGTGAATAACGCTTCCCATATATATATATATATATATATATATATATATATAGGCATTTAGACATAACTTGTGCTCACTGTTTAAAGCTCAAAGTCATTTTCATCTTACATACAGGGTAGCTCAAACACAGAGATCGATTTTATTAATATAATGGCACCATTTCTATTGATCATTTCCCGATGTTTATTTTTAGCGGGGCACGTGTCAGTCTGAAGCGACAGACAAATCCATTAAAAAAAATTAATAACCTGTATCTTTTAAACGGATTGCTGCTATTACTATAGAAATACTTGTAACCAATCAAATATTTCTACGTGTTTAACCCCTTAACTGGGAATACAAAAATTAGTTTTATAATTGGAGCACAGAAGAGAAAAAGAGCTGAGGAGACAAGGAAAACGGGTAAAATTAACATCTTGGTTAAATCCAATCGAAATATCAGTGACTAATACAGCTCATCAAAATATTTTTAAAAAAACTCATCTGCATCCTCTATTGGATCCAGCCATCTAGTTCCAGACAATACCATTACCTATTTCCTCTGCTAAGGAAATTGTAAAAATTGAAACACACAAAGCCGTGTCAGAAAACGAGAGTGTGTGATTCACCACACAGATCCCGGGCTATGGAAGATTAAGAACACTTGTACAGTTGAGTACTGGATTCGCGGTGGGCCATCATTTTGTCAGAATCATGACTGCAACCTTTCAAAGTCAAGCAGAGCTGGAGAAGAAAGAACTAAGACATGGTATTTATCAAGAAATATGTTCAAACGTGAACTTCAGTGAACTGCGGAATGGCGAGTATGTAATACTTGAATGGCTTCGCTATTCACCATTGCAAGGTTGTTTGTATTATTTTGCGTGTCGTCTATTGTCCAAAAAAAAAGTATTTCACTTTGCTATATGAGGTTTCAATTACTGGAAACTAACAATATTATTGTAAAACATGAAAATGGAGTATAGTGCATCGCAAGGACATGGCTGCATATTTTCTTCGACTGAAAGAAGCTAGGTGTTTAGGTCCTTTATTAAAGCTGAGAAAAGGGTATATAGGCACTGAACATTCGTTCTCATTCAGGAAATCCAAATCTCAGCTTTCCCACATCGATGGAATGTTCTGATATTATCTTCCTTAGGAAAATCTCTCTTTGTCGAAAAGCATCTGTATGACACAAGATAGTCAACACATTTTGATGCCGTCAACGTTTCGAAAAAAAAAAACAAGATGCTCTGGACTCTGTATCAGCTGACACTGATCAGGAAAAGAATAAAACGAGGCGTGAGGCAGAAAGAGTAAGTAATAAAATGGAGAACCTGACAATTTATCATCATCTGGGATGAATTATAATGTATTTCTGATGTTTTAAAACCATTATTGCACTGGAATGAATTTTTGTTTTTTGTATAAATAAGTTGAATTAACCAATTTTTAACTTTATTGAATGTTTAGTCTTATTTTACAATGTTATTCCTCTTGGTGAGTTGGGTTGGGAGCAACAACTTTTTGCGCCACCCCCCTCACTGTTTGAGCATGGGGCGAGTGCCCATTTTCGTCCCCCTTCTAACAACCCTGGTGTGTTGTGTTGCGGGGTGGGGGGGGCCCCAGTGCATTGCTGTGCCCAGGTCCCTCTATGTTCTTAAGACGGCCCTGGCCCCACCTAAGCCTTTCTAATATTCTTATGCGCGCCACCCCCCCTTCCATGTCTCATATACATAATTTTCATTATTGAAAAATAGGGTTGTTCACTGAAGAAAATTAAATGATATTTACAAAACTTTTAATGAACGTTTATTTTAAATTGAGACTTAGACGATTCTCCTTTTAAAATACAAGTTAAATCATAGTAGACGATTAGTTTTCAAAATCTATATATAGACAGCTCATATTTCCAATTATCCCCCTAGACAATCTAATTGCCCCCCCCCCCCCCCGGGGCCTGGGGTTCCCCCAATGAGGAGAAATGAAAAGTCCATGCATAGAAGTAGAACTGAAACCAATAGGTCAAGTTTTTGTTGTTCATTTTTCATTGATTAAATAATAAATGATAATAGACTGGTGATTAGTGCTAAGCTCGATATAAACTAAATGAAACTGAAAGTAATCACACATTTGCTGCGAACTTTGTGCATCATCTTTTGTTTAAAAATAAGATGCATATCTTCGGTTATGATCATGAAACTTTCTATCTACAATTGATATTTCATTTCACGTGCTGTCTGGCTGATGATACTGACCGAGTAGACACGGTTTGTGTGTGCTGTGTGTGAATAGTGTCTAAGCGCGTCATAGATTTCAATAATGGTAACGTAATTTAATACGCATGTAATAAGTGGAGAAATCTGTTTTAGTGAGGGCAAAATCAAGGACCGCCCCAGGGCCTCTTGCCCCTCCACTGACCCGTCAAAATGACGCACGTTTTTCTCTCTTTAATTCCACAGATCAAATATTTCTAGGAGGCAACTCCCTGGCCGTCATAAAATACAATTTACATTCTCCTATTTCAAAGTAATCAATTTGAGTGCAGTCTGAGCAGTTTTGACACAGTTTTGAATCCCATTTGATAGCCAGCCTGAGCAGTTTTGTATACCATTTGATGGCAGTCTGAGCAGTTTTGACAAATTTGTGTATCCCATTTTATGGCAGTATGAGCAGTTTTGTATTCCATTTGATGGCAGTCCGAGCAGTTTTGTATTTATGGATTGATTGGAGTAGTTTTGTATTTATGGATTGATTGATTGAATACTTTTATAGCGCTTGTGTCCATCTTATTTTTGCATGGTCTGAGTTCTCTAATGTCCTAAAATTTATTTTTTTTCAAGTCTTTAAATGTTTCTTAAATGACTTTCTATCCTTTTCAATTTCCCTCAAAAGTTGAGGCAAACCCCTCAAAGATTGAGGCAAACTGTTCCATAATTTAGGCGCAATAGCTTCAGAAGAGCACACTCTGTATGACTTCTTTCTGTTTCCATCCGCACTGGGAACCCTCCGTAAAGACTGTGTTGAAGTACAATTTATATATTTCTCCACATCACAATACTGACCCACCTAAAAATCCTGAGCTCACAGCAGTCAAATGAATGCAGGTCCCATGCGATTGCACTGGGTTCCAGGTATATTTTATCACAGGAGATGCAGGACATACGTTTTCAAATCAATAGAGGCTGCAGAAAATGTTTTTAAATCAAGAGAGGTTACTTCACTGTAAATAGGTTAATTAAGAGCATCTGAGCTAGATCTCAGGACAGCTGGGAAAAAAATAATGAACAAACACGTTTTCTGTGCATTGCTCCACAAAGAAGGAAATCAAACAAAACAAAAACATTAAAGGAAACTATATTTTTCTGTTTACTGTGTACAAAACTTTAACTGACAATTATTGAAGCAAGTCAATCCAGTATAGAGATTACACAATTCATAAATCCATCCTCCATTGCAGCGCAACTGAGACAGTTTCAATAAATGTGCCTCGTTTAAAACATTTTGTGGAGGGTAAATAAAAAAATATTAAAAATTTGACATTCCTCTGGGGTAATTTTAGTTCATTTAATTTTAATCAAAATTTAAAAAGCAGGTTTACAAGATCAAGATGTGACTTTATTCTTTAGTAAATGTTGGATAATTTAAATTTGCTACTGTTGTACAATAATTTATGCCAATTTTAACATGTAGTAGTAAAAATAAATAAAATATTTTAATTTAATGTTTTTTAACATTAAAGATTACTCAACTATAAAAATAAATAAAGCAATTTTTTTTCCTTCTTAAAACAATAAATCTGCCCTCGATTCCTTCAAAAAAAAATAAAAAAAAAATGCTGTTTTAAAATTCATTGTCAATTTAAACCATTACACCATGAATGGTTAAAAATACTAAAGAAAGTATATATTTCAAATGCTTCAAAAAAATCAGGTTTGGAAGAAATGTTGGTAGGCTTAAAAAAAATTAGAGTTGTAATAGTAATAGCTAAGCGTTAGAGGTTAAAACTGATTTCATGTTTATATTATTTTAAACATAAAAATTAATCAACATGACAATGTAATGGGACTAGTTGAATGATTTAAACTTAAAGCTAACAAAACTGTATATTTCTAAACTTTTCATAAAACATGATATACAGGTATTTGGTATTTAGTAATCTCCGCTTTGAATGCAAGAACAAAATGTTTAAAATAAAATGCATACTGATGTCTTAAAATAGGCAGTTAAATAATTTTAAAAAAATGAACCCATACTCATAATTGAGTCAAACCCAAAAGCAGCAATTTTCAAATATTGTGTCATGACACATACAAATTTTAGTTCACAAAATTTATGACAAAAGTTGATTTTTAAAGAATACAACTGATCTAGACATGGCTTATCTGGTCAACTTACCCACTGTAGTGTTTGGCCATTTATATATTTCTATCTAATTTTAGAGGGCCAACATAATAATACCATCAGTTTAAGATCTGCTCTGAAACAGTCTATATTTTCAGTGTGGTTTTAGAGTGTTGTAAAAGGAAAAGGGGGAAAAAAAAGAGGTAGATAAACACTCAGCTAGGGCCTATAAATAAATGTTAGTCACAGAGACAATATATATAATATATATATAAGATAAAAAAAAAACAACCTAGTCTTGTCATTCTAAGACAGTTCTTATGTAAGAGAAGTTCAATGAAATGTCGAAACATTTATATTTTCACATCTTCAAGTTTTTTTGCAACATCCTTCTCATTATTTCCCTTCTCATCACCTTTAGCGTCATCATCAGCTTCTTTTTCACTATTTTCTTCCTCATCTTCATCCTCCTCCTCATCATCCTCTTCATCTTCCTCATCATCATCATCGTCATCTTCTTCATCATCATCATCATCATCATCATTGCTTTTAACTGCAAAGAAAAAAAAGCACATTCCTGGAACTTGAAGACCGTTTTCATTATCATTCAATTAATAATTAAAATATTATTTTGTTAATAGTAGAGTTAAGACTAGATACTAATTTATATTCAAAATAATTTCACATCATATTTTTTCAGCCAAAAATTTTTGCAAGAAAAAATTGATAGAACCTGATGTGCTAACAAATTTTTTTCTTTTTTTTTTTTAAAACGGAAAACCTATACTTCAAAAAATAATTTGTGTAAATAATTGCAAACATATTTTAAGAATTTTATTTGATGCAAGTTTTTCATAGAGTGTTCTGTATTCCATTTTATCGTTATTATAAAAATGTTAAATTTCTATATCTTTATAGGAAATCTTTAGCTAAAAAAAAAAAACCCACATTCTTTTAACAGCGGAAATGAAAATTATGCAGATATAATTGGGTATAGCTACTGCACACAAACAAAAGTGTTAAACATGTTTGTGTCTTTCTACTGTTTCATAGTAAAAACCTGTATAGGCCATGGTCTGTATGTCTAAATAAATAACAGCTCAGATGACAAAAGAAAAATCTCTGAGTAACCACCATTTGCCTTTACTTACCTCTCACAGCTTTGATTCCACCAGCCCCAAGAGTGTAGCCTCCAAAAGTGAAGCCTCCTGTAGCACCAGGGTAACTGTATTCATCATTAACTTCATCATCATCTTCAGCATCCGCAATCTGCTGGCGTCCATACTTGTAACCTCGAGCTAAGATGATTTAAAAAAAAAAATTAACTTCAGAACCATTAATCATTAATTTTTAATATGTTTAAACAAAAATTTAATTTAATTCAATATTCAAAGTCAAATGGTCTCTACAATTGAAAAAAAACTTATAATTAATAATAATTATTTGTGCAGAAAAATTTATATTTATTTATTTGTCAGTAAAGACATGCACACAGTATAAAATTGAGAAACATCACTGTCATTTTATATTACAAAGTGGATGAAACCTTTTTGAAATGTATCTGTTTTTTATTTATGTTATTTATTTATTTAGGCATTTTTTTTATAGCGCTTACCTTACAGCTCTAAGCGCTTTACAATTATTAAAAATATGTAAACTATAAACTGCTAAAGCAAAATAAAAAGGAAAAAACCAGAGACACTAGAATAGTAACAACAATGTGTAAATAAAATAATAAAGTAGCTTAAACATTAAAATAGCTATAAAAATAAGTACACTTTGGCACGTTTTGACCTATACTACAGGATCAACCCGAGACAGAAAATGAGGCAGGGCAAGGAGGGTGCATCACAGGTCATAGGCGGACCTAAACAGATGAGTTTTAAGGGACTTTTTGAAAGTGGACGAGGTTTCACAATGACGGATGTGGAAGGGGAGCTGGTTCCAGAACGTGGGCACATGGAAGTAGAAGGAGCGTTCACCGATGGTCTTAGTTTTGGTTCTTGGGATTGAGAGGGTTCCATTGTCAATTGAAAAGCGTAGTTGTCTTGTGGGGGAGTAAGGAAGCAACAGTTCAGAGAGATAGACAGAAAAATGAGGGTCAGTGAACGAGTTGAAGCATAGATTGGCAGACTTATACTTGATGCGAGAGGATATTGGAAGCCAGTGGAGTTGCCGCATGTGTGGTTGAATGTGGTCATGTTTCTTTGATTTAAAAATGAGTCTGCATGCTGAGTTCTGTGCCTTCTGAAGTTTGTCTATGTGGTGTTGAGGAATGCCTGCGAGAAGAGTGTTACAGTAGTCAAATTTTGAAAGAATGAGTGAAGTGACGAGAGTTTTTGTGGCATCAAAGGCGAGGAGGTGTATAATGGTGCTGATTTTTCTAATTTCGTTGTATGCTGATCTGCATATGTTCGTGACATGTTTTTCCATGGATAGGGTGTCTGTAAGCGTGACTCCAAGGTTTCTGGCAGAGGAAGAGAGTGTGATGTCAGAGTTGCCGATAGATATAGAAGAAGGAGCGGATGGAGGGAGAGGTTTGTTTTGAGAGTGGATGAGAAGGATTTCCATTTTATCATCATTTAGCTTCAGTTTGTTGCAAGTCATCCAACGCTTAACGTCGTTCACGCACTCCTGTATGCGAAGGATTGTGGCATCAAGTTGATCAGGAACGCAAGAATGTATGCCCTTTTGAAATTTTAACACCTACCCTCATCAATGTTTTTTTTTTAAAAATAATATAGAATCATTTAATAGTTTCTTACAGGAGTCAAAGACAAGCAACACAACCTTGTGTTTCTAATTTCTAGGTAAAATAAAGAATTCCACCATGACTTACTGGACATGCTTAGCTCCTTGACCTCTTGAGTATCACTGCCACATTTAGGGCAAGGTATAGCCTGTCCTTTAACATACTTGAAGCCTTTGCGCCTTGCATGGTCTTCACAGTAACATTGCTGTAAATAATATAAACATTTAAGATGCATAGGGTGAATTATACACACACAAAAATGTTTATCGATTTCTCCAATAAAACACACGAATACAGTTTGAGTTATCAGTGAAAAAAACAAACAATTGATGAAATATTTTTATAAAGTTTTAAGCCATTTAAAAAAAACATATATTTATTTCAAGAACATAGCTATAATGATTGTATGTTTTACCTTGCACCGCAAGCATGAATATTGTCCAAGCTTATTGCATGAAAGACCTGAAGAAAAATTGGATAAATCTAAAACTCTCTTCCAAGGACTATATTTAATTATGAATGAACAACAATATTGCTCTAGATTGCTTGGGAGGACTACAAGTTTATTCATGAGATTCAACACCATGTATCTTGTCATTAAAAAAAAAGATGTACTCGTTTAGTTACTAACAAAGGCATTTTTTTGTAAAAATACTTTTTGAGGATGTTATTTCTTCTTTCAAATATTAATTTCAATAGATGGTAAACAAGCTGGAACTTACATTTGTAGTTTTCAGACTCCAAAACCTGACAGCTGGCCTGGTGTTCAAACTGATCATCTTCACAGAGAAATTTAGTACAGTAGCTACAAGTGAATATCCTACCACCTAAATTAAATGAAACAATGATGATTTTAAAAAAAATATGAAATAACCATTAATTTTAACATGCCATGTCAGCACCAAGCAATAGACATTAATAATATATATATATATAAGATAATATTTTCTTCTTGGCTTAAGACATGAATGAAAATTGTAATTTTTAATACAGGTGTTTTGAGAATTAGCATTGTCACATATTCCATGGTGTGCATGGCACAATGTAATGAACACAAATGTGACTCTTTTAATGGAAACACAGAGTAGTGATTCAAGGTGTTAAGATTGAATGCATGACTGTATTTAAACAAAACATATCCATTTATGAAATAAGTTAAATAAAGTTTTTAAGAATGCTTGTGAACATCAAGAGAAGTCACTATACTATAATAGTATCAACTAATTAGCACAATGGAGGACAAAAATTTACACAAGTAAGACTAAGACACCTTTAATTTTTTTTAATATTAATTGAATTTTGGAATATAAATAATATATGGAAAGCTTGTAAACACTTGTGTTTTTTTTAATAGAAATTTAGACGATAGTTTATTAACAATTACAGAAAGGGTGCACCTGAATGCATTTGGAACAAGTCTCTACAGCAGTGGTTCTTAACCTGGATTTGATAGAACCCCAGGGGTTCGGTGAGTCAGTCTCAGGGGTCCGGCAAAGGTCCAAAAAAAATCTTTTTTTTTTCCTATTATGAAGGGTTTGGTGACTGCACATATGAAACTGGTGGGGTTCGGTACCTCCAAAAAGGTTAAGAACCACTGCTCTAGAGTAATTGTAGCTACCAACTATGCACTTAGTTTTTAAAAAAATGTGCATCTTTGTTTCATTTCTTTTGCCCAATGAAAATCATCCAAACCTGGAGAAGGTTGATTCACTTTTGTAGATGGTTTGCTATCCGCCATTATAATAAACAGACAGTACATCACATATCTTTTGTAAGTTCTACTGTATATGCTTGCAGTAAAAAGTTGTAAAAAAAACAAAGTTGTCTATTTATATTTTCATTGTCGAATCAGACTTTGGCCATTGATTTCTACTGTGACTGCAAAAAGTAGGGCTGAGCCAGGTGAAATTTTTACACCTGGTCGGGTTTGGAGGTTAAATAAAAATAAGAGTAATCTTCTCATTTTATTTAATGTGTGCCACCAAATAGGGAGAAGTGAAAAAAGCATGTATAGAACCAGTAGTGATCATGAAGGCATCAAAGTTGAAGGCTTCAAAACACAAATAGTTTGATAATATAATGCCAACCCAGTGGTTCTCATTCTTTATAGTGCAGCGACACCCCTTAAACTATTTGCCAACTGACAACCAGAATTATAACTTGATTTTGGAAAACAGGTGTTGATAAGGGGGGAAGGGGCAGAGCTTTTTTTGTAGATAAAAAGTTGTTTGCACTTTAATTTTGATTGGTGATGGAGGGAAGCAGAAATAAGGCCTAAGACCATTAAGAATGGTGGGGTTCAGCAGAGGGGGCTCTGTTAGTCAATGGCCAGAGAGTTTTTTGATAAATTCACACACCTGATTATATTTTTGCGTGGAAGCTGCCAACTTTTAAGTTTAGGCACACAAAAAAAAAAATGAATAATCAACAAAAAATATTAAAATAATATCATATACTGGGGTAATGTTATTTTTTTTAATGAATTGAAACTGCCAAAACATTTATTTTTAATTAGCTGCTAACATCTGCTGGACGAATAATATTTTTAAAATTTATTTTATATAGCTGCAATGTAATAGTAATAAAAATTTAGTGTGATCACTTAATAATATTTCAAAATTAAAATGAAAATCAAATAAGAAAAAATGCACATTTTCTGTTGTGTATAAAATGTGCATTTTTTCTTATTTTTACACAACAGAATTTTTAAATTTTCAAGCGACCCTTGGCATTTTATCACGCCACCCCCTGAGGGAGTTGTGACCCACAGTTGAGGACATATCAAAAATAAAATGAAGCCCAGCTCTGCTAAATGTGTTAGTGTTGCTGGCTGGTAGCTGTTTTCACTTTTCTGATACCAACTTATGCATGTAATTTTTAATAAATATTTATATCCTCATCATGGCGATACCATCCTAGCCTTCACTTATTAAATGAGTATTAAATTACATTGCTATTTTTGGACACTGTGACAGAAGTTAAACAAATGAAATATTAATTCACTGAAGGACGTGAAATGATTAATTAATTTTTATAGAAAGCCCCATAGTCATAAAAAAACATATGCATCTTGCTAAGACAAATCATTACCGGTACAGAAAATTTGCAGCAAAAATATTATTTTCAGAGCATTGTAGTTTCATTTAGCTTAGTTAGTTTCACATATTTGATAGTCAGTTTTCTATTATTAAACTATTATCATTTATTTAATTCAGGGAAAATGTAAAAAAAATTCATGTAAAAAAGATGTACTGGTTCTATGCAAGTATAATTGATTTTGCTCCATCAAGTGGAGCACATTATAGGAAAACGAAGACAACTCTTATCTTTTTAACACCCAGAACCGCTTACATTTTTTCGCCAGATTACGAGTCTTTGCCGGGTGGACTAATACTCTGTAGTTCCAAGTGTCCAGGACATTTTCAAGATCAGCCCCAGTAAAAAGACAAGATGTGTTACTTTCAAAATTTAATGTAAGCAGTACGCTTAAAGATGCATGGGGACCAAAATTTGTGTCTCAGCACTCTTATAGATGCATGGGGGACCAACATTTGTGTCACAGCACTCTTATAGATGCATGGGGACCAACATTTGTGTCACAACACTCTTATAAATGCATGGGGGACCAACATTTGTGTCACAGCACTCTTATAGATGCATGGGGGACCAACATTTGTGTCACAGCACTCTTATAAATGCATGGGGGACCAACATTTGTGTCTCAGCACTCTTATAGATGCATGGGGGACCAAAATTTGTGTCACAGTCACAGCACTCTTATAGATGCATGGGGGACCAACATTTGTGTCACAGCACTCTTATAGATGCATGGGGGACCAACATTTGTGTCTCAGCACTCTTATAGATGCATGGGGACCAACATTTGTGTCACAGCACTCTTATAGATGCATGGGGACCAGGGCTGGATTAACCATTAGGCAAACAAGGCACTTGCCTAGGGCACCAAGCATTTGGGGGGCACAACAAGTGCTCAAGAAAAATGTGTATATTGTCCCGGTAGCGTAATTGCATGGCATAAGCTATTCGCAAATGTAATATTGAATCGCAAATTATTTAACCTTGGTCCCACAACCCGGGGGTAAAATACCCCCCACCCAGTTTTTTTGCTCTTTTTTTATATTTTTCTTCAAAGTTTTTTTGATTTTTTGTGTGCTATTTTTGCTGATGATTGAGGAAGACTTGTTGCACAAAATTAACTTTCATGATGTACTCAAAAACTTTGTCAGACGTAAATCTAGAAAAAATAACTTTAAAATGAAATGTGTGCTCCCTCTGACTTTCTTATCTATCAAAAAATGTACAGTATTTTTGTCTACTATTATTACAAAATTAATTAATTATTAATTTTAATACACAAATACATTGTTGTAGGTTTTATATGAGTGATAGCAATACAAACATATGTGTTTACATTTCACAACTGTTTTTCTTTGTTAGTTTTTTGCATAATATTGAACATACCAGCAGTCAGAGGAGGATCGGGGGCCCGGGGCAGTGGGGGCACCCATGTGGGTTTGTGCCTAAGGCACCAAGATGGTTTAATCTGGCCTGATGGGGACCAACATTTGTGTCACAGATATGATCATAACCAACGGCTGATATAAATAAACTAAAAATTAAACCACTCCATTCAACACTACAGACCATGATCCCAGACTCCTCTCTTGCATTCATGACATACAGCATCTGCCATTGGGCATGTGCATGCATGTGTTTGTAGGCATCTCTTGCTGTGGCAGACCCAAGCCTCACAGAAATCACAAATAGCCCCCTGTTTAAAATAAATCAGAATTCAGTGCTGGAAATTGCAGATACTACAGTTTTTACTGAACAGCCCTAGTGATCTGATTGACCAGATAAGTAAAGCACATTGCAGGATTCACAATGAAGGATTAAAAATACATTTTTATCAGCAGCAAAGTTTACGTGATTGCTATAGTATGAACTTATAGCAGAGTTTGATCTTTTTCAGTTAAAAAATGGTTTGAAAAAAATAAAATTTCTTTAATCAAAGTACTATCGGCTAATACATAATACCTACCACCAGGCCTAAACCAGTGACATACTGGCCAGCATGTCTTACAATGCAGTCACCTCCTTTCGACATACACTTTATTTTTCCTAGTGAGATTGAAGTGAGTAGTTGACAGATGATCCAAATATGATGCAGATGAGTAAGAGTTTACATATAACAATAACAAAAAATTAGCATCAAATTGTGAAAAACACTTGGTGGAACATCAATGTTTCTTGAAAATAGGCTGAATACAATATGTATTCTGAAAATAATACTAATGAATATCAGCAGTTGCTTTGAATTTGAAAAAACTTCATTCGTTGAAATAATATAATTATTAGTTTGCCTATCAAATACTTTAAGTGTCAACTGAGGATTTAATGTAATTAGTTGCTTAATCAAAATATGTTTTAAAAAAACAGCTAATAGCAAATTAGGATTTTGCAATTATTTAACTTCCCTTACCACACTGCGCACAAGCTGGCATCCGTTGTAACATGCTACAAAAGTAACAGAACGCCCTGTTTTTCTGGGTTCTGTTAGATTAAAAACATCTATATTAATTACATTCATTGACTACCTTTCTTTAAACAAAAATTAAATTAAATAGATTTCTGAATTACAGCCGGATGAAAAACGTAACTGCTAATCTCCTTTTTATGTCTTACCTTTTGCAATAATCACATTCCTGAAAAAATAAAAAGACAGAAAATAAATAGTAGTGATACAAAAAAGAATGGCGTATTTTTATCAATTACAAGCTCAATTTTAAATTAAAAGTTAAATCAAATTAGTAAAGGTATATCACTATCACACCAACATGAATAATTGAAAAACACTAACTGGTATATAACAAAAATCTGGGTATCTAACACATAGGTTGCATGCCAATATGCTATTTCTAAACATGTTATCATGAGCGATATTAAAGGGTTAATGACATTTAAGAAGTATTATCATGGAAGATCACATGGTCATAGCGAATTAAAAGTGCATCTGTTCATACAAAGAAAATTATTTGAAGCAACAACAAAAAAAGTGCAAGGGGGGGTTATATTGGAACTAATTACACAATTTTTTTTGTTATTTTCCACAGATGTGTATAAAAAATTTGAAAACTATATCTTGCATTGTCACAAAAATGGAGAAATTTCAGTTGCATCTCTTGTCATTATGGCTCCAAAAAATGGGTATTTATTAAGTAGCTTTGGGCTCAGTAGTGGGCCAGTTCATGTTTCTCGCAAACTCTACACGACTTAAGTTTATGTTATTTTTTCTTATGTTTTACCAAAGAAGTTTTTTTGATGCTGTATCTGCATTTTGCTTTGTTTTTTCCATTTTTCCTAAACCTTTTGCTGCTTTTAGTGCTTAATGGCTGACCTGCTTACTATCCCCATGTCAAAAACAATGGCAAGTACTTGTTTTATTTCACCAACATCCAGTTTTGTACTGTACAAAAATGGCAATTGAGGATGCTGCCCTTTGACTCATGCTGCATAAGATTAAATTTGCACAACCAATCTTATCTTTATTCATAAAAATTTTGAAAAAAAAAAAGACCACAGTTTTTAAAAATTGTGGTCAATTTTAAATTTATTACCGGATTTCCCATTAAAATGAACTTAAGTGGTGGATTGGGTCCTGCAGCCTTCCAGGTTCTGATACAAAATCCTGTCTTTTAACCATGCTTCATGTACTTCTACAACTTTTTTTTTTCTCAACCTCTACCCTGCACCCCATTTAGTTCTAGGTATACCAGCATCATTATTTTCATTTAGATGTACTGACAAATTCACCCTGACAAGTCACTTTCTGCCTGGCTTTCAAAAGGATCCTTCATCAAATGCATAAACAAACTGTTTCCATCATCACTATTTTCAGAGTCTCATCACTACTTTGATTAATCTCCATAATAAATGTCTCAATATTTAATATTTGCCCATGAGCCTCAGCTGCAGATAACCTGAGTCAGGACGTTGATTTTTCTACCAACCAATTTAATAAAATTTGGATAAACCTTCGAGAGATATTTGCACAGCAAGCTGTAGCGAACTGGGCAAACAAAAAATGTTGCATGTAAATAAGTCAGCTTGTCGGGGAACGTGGTTGATTAAATAAAATATGTATATATTATATATATGTAGCAAAGTGCTGAGAGACTGACAGTTTTAGCTTTTTATTGGTTCTAAGAGTGTGGTAAAAGCATAAAAAGTGAAAGATAAATGACACTATAGAACTGCAAGATACAACCACTAAAATAACTATAAAAAAAATGCTGTTTGCTACAAGTCCTCTATATGAATTCTAATTCAGCGGGTTTAAATTGCCTGCCTTATATAGCCCACACAGGGAAACAATGACATCAGCTTTACATATTGGTCATGGGACAACTCGAATGACCAAACTAGAGTTTAAGGCCCAGCACACAGCTATGTGCCACTTTTAATTTCAGAGGGTGTGTAAATGCCTGAAGTAACCCACAGCAATGACACTTAGAGCATGTGTTCATTTGTTATGTAGCATACATTGCCTGTGCTTGAATTTTACTTGACCTAAATTAGAATCTTAGCAGACAGTAACGTCTGTTGTGGGCGTGGCCTATTCCTTTGATGTATCTTGTTTACTATCAGCTTCCAATTACACATTGGGTAGTATGTCTCCTGGTAGTTTCTGGAATGTGCTCGATAACCCGAGAAATGTAAACAACACGACATATGTCTTTTCTGGAAGGCAGGGCTTACGCGACCTATATAAGGGATTGACAGGCACGGACGGAGAGACGGAGATTCAGATAGAAATTATTAACTTTACGAGACATGTATTATTCTTTGTGTATTTGTGTGCTCATATGTGTTTATTTCGAATTTCATCATTATTCATTGGCACATTATTCTAAATGTGTTAACTGTGTACCGGTACAAGATCTACCACACTGTAAGTTGAAGATTGTCATAATATTTTCTTTTCTTTTGTAATTATCTTAAGACTTAATAAATCTTAATTAATTGTAACTGGAAACTGTTTTGGGTGTCGTATCTTTAATATTGTTGACTCTATGGTATCGTCCTTTATTAGGCACTGCTTACAACGAGCCAATAGAAATTAAAATAGGAGATTAATTTGTCATATTAGAAGCCAGTGTGTAACATTATTATTAGGGGTGTGCCGGATCCGTTTTTTCCAACCGGATCCGGCTCCGGATTTTCTTATGCGAAATCCACCGGATCCGGATTCCGGTTTCTCCCGGATTCCGGATTTTGGTACTTTGCAGATACCGGTAAATCTGAGGGGTTGGATGCCTTCTGAACAGTTGGCCTAAATCGTGATCGTGTGGAATTCGGGAAAGAGAATTACTTTTATTTCAGATTATGATCCGGTGAGTCACAAAATCTGGCAAATTCCGAAATCCGGTATATTCCGGATTCCGGTTGTTCCGGATACATGTAAATCCGGCGGAACCGGATTTCACCGGATAGTGCAAAATTTATTAAGGTGGCACAGTTGCACATATATTAGTACTGATTTTCTTTTAAAAAATTTGCTTTGAAATGTTTTAAATTAATCCAGTGTGGACAAGTTGCTTCTCAGGTTTGTAAATGAATTTTAAGTTATTTTTTAGTTTTAAATTATAGCTGTCAATATTGTAAATGACCCCTACATAAATACCATGCTACATTAACTACTAGGCAAAGAAAATCATTTAAATGAATAATCCTAACTTGAAACTCTGAATTTGTAAGGTAAATACATAGGCCTTTTTATTTATAATTAATTTTGTGATGAGACGTGGTGAGTTTATTTTTTATGACTTATGTGTTTCGATCTTGGACTTAAAACAAGTTAAGAAAGGTGAAAGGGCAGTCAGTATTTTTTGCAAATCAGTTGTTTTGTTGAGACTTCATCACATTCAAATTTAAGGCCAAGTTGTTGGGAATTTGAACGGTTAAAATTTGCTGGAATTTTTATGGAGTCTTGTTTCATTAAGAGTAATTTCAAAGTTCAGTGTTTGGTTAACAGATAACATGTACCTTAAAACTTAAAAGGGATAAATGGCAAGGCATAGGTCAATGTTTGGCAAGGCATAGGTCACTGTTTATCAAGTGTATCATGTATTGTAATATTAACAAAACTTTTATTGTAGTAATGCAGGGAAATGTTCATCAGCATGTGACTTTGTCAGTCTCATACTACTCATAGTGATTGTGATTTTTGTCATTGTCAACAAGTCAAGTGTCTGAGTGTGTCAAACATTTTCATGGAACAAAACACAGCGGATATTTACAGGTCAGCACAACATCCTAAGCAAAATTTTTATACCATAAGATCATACATTGTTTAAATGTATTTAAAATACATATAACTAACTAATCAACGTATTAATTTGAGCCCTACCATCAACTTAGATACTTCGATAAAACAAGGGAGACTACTACTTTTTTTGTATCGGAAATAAGCGTCGGCGCCGAAAAATCCGAGTTTTTAATTTTCCGATGTGTGTGTCTATTTATTATTAAATTAGTTCTTTGGACATATATTTGAGTTCCGTTTCCGGCCTTATAATTTGGAAGACATCTTGGCCTACATTTCCATCCAACTATTTTAATATATATCTGTGCCAATTCTCATTGATGTAGGTAGTGTCCCACGTTCGCTACGCTTCTCCCAGTGACCCATATCACCATAAGGGGGCTCAGCCTTATTTTGACATGGCGTGGGCCACGCCCCCTTTGTAATGGCGGAAGTTGCCAATACTTAAGAAATATTTAATTATTACCACTATATACATCAAAATATTTGATAACTTGTGTTTCAGAATGCATTTTGAAGACATTTAACCCTCTGGAGACGGAGCCTTTTCGGGGTGTATGTGCCAAAAAGACGGAGCAATTTTTACGAGCTCGAGACTCGCATTGCAAAAAAATTTATAAAAAATAAACTATTCCCTTAATATATGTAAAACCATATATATTCTTGTAGGAAATTGAATGAACTAATACAATCTTTATGAATCAAACTGACATATCAAAATTTATGCAAATGAGGTACCCTTATTTGCATAATTTATGCGTGTAATTTTTTGTTACACCTGGAATAAACATGACTTACTTGTATCAATTGTGTGAATTTTTTGATGGATGAAGCCTGAATAAGTCCTAATACTTATTTTTTGGGGGAAAAGGGCCCATGAAGGCCCTTCAGACACCTCTGGCACATGGTTCTACTCCTTTCCCACCCCCACCCCCTATTTTTCAGTTGTTACAGACACACTGTAACAGGCCCCCATTTATGACCTAGGGACCTTCTCTTA